TATAGTGCTGAGCCAAATCCCGTGCGAAGGGCGGAGGGGAGTGTACCACGCCATAGGTTGCGAATTGGGTTCGGGGAGGAGAGGATGGCCTTGACGGTTGGAAGGAGGGAGGCATTCTGAGATTGTTGTACACGGGTTTTGAGGAGATCAGCGGGTTGGAGAAGGATGGAAGAGGTAAGGCCAGAGAAGAGGCCTGCGGTAAAGTGGAAGGTTGTCTTGGAGGCTATTTGATTGATTGATGGTTAGGGTTTGTTAAATGGGAAGAGTAGATGAGTGAGTGGCCATACACGTTGAGGTGGTTTTCACCTGCGGTACAGCATAGACCGCATTGTTCGACATGACTTCGGATCCCGCAGCCAAGGCTGAGAATGTATATAGACAGAGGAGTGATTTGAAAGGGCACGTGTGATGAGATCAACTCATCCGGGGCGCTGCACGATGATGGCTGGAGAAGAATTTGAGATTTGAGACAGACCGCTTGAAGCGGTGACGGTCACATTGATGGGAGTCAGGATAGCATTGCAGAAGAGAAGGAAATGCGAAACAGGTTTTTGTGAAGATAATAAGTGATACGACCGATTTTTTAGCGAGTGTAGGAGGGAGAAAGAGAAATTGTGACAGACGGTGTAGATACGAAGCGGTAGAGTCGTACTTTCTCAAAGCGGAGGGCAGTTGGTGAAGTCATCTGGGCGGAAAGCATCTCGATTGGCTGCAGATCACCAGCCACAGTTACCGCGGCCGTCGCCGCCTCTCGACTTCCGATATCTCCGGCGTAAGGACCTGCCAGAAGAGGCACACCTACAGGTACAGGTTCAGGTTAAGGTTGATGTACCTGTGCAATGACTGACAGGAACGAAGAGATCACTCGAGCATCTAATGCTACATTCAACAACCAGCACCTACCGCTACCCATTAATAATCCACAGGTCCTTACAGTCCTACGTACTGGTAGTCACAGGGCTGATCATGTCATGATACGGACATCCGCAGCAGAAAACAACTACTAGGAGGCTGCATTTGGGCAACTTTCAATACTCCAATCCGGAGGCTTTCTCCGAACAGGTGCCGGGTTAGCAACTCGACAAAGTGAGACGTAGGAAGGCATCACGGCCAATGCATGCAGAAGAATGCACACCATTCCCTTCATTCCACTTGGCCAACGCTCACGGCGGATGTACTTACTGTGTAATCTTACCGCCCATTGTTCCCGGCGGCAAACCGCCCAAACCCATCAAGCCAATCAGGAACCCGTAAATGGCCGGTGACATACCGTCCTCCGTACTTAACCGTCACATTCACGCTGGTTCGGTTGGAGTTAGGCGACTGGGCTGCAGATTGGCCGTATTAGTCGACGTCACGGTTCTGGGGGAGCCGGTAAGGCAGAGTAACTGGTAAGTTCCACGGCCACCTTCAGTTGTCAAACTTAACTGCCCTGCCCTTTTCTTTCCTCTCTCTGGGAATCTGGCCTTTCTTCAAGAGTACCCCTGCTATGCCCTCCTGCTCGTAACCCCGTCGTTTCATTGTGGTCCGCCAGAGACGTCACCAATCCCTCCACCTTGCGGAGAGCTGAGTCTCCGTCATCCATCATGCCTCTGTCGTCCTTCGTCCCCCATATTCCGTATCCACCCTCTAGGGAAGGATATTGGAGCCCCGTCACGTCTACGCTGAATTGGTGCGAAGAGGTATGCGGCGCTCAGTTTCACCTTACTATTATAAAAGGTTGCTAACCGTCATGCGAACGATATAGGACTACTATGCCACCATCTACTCCGCAGAGATCGTCAACACACTGACAAACCTACTGTTTATGGCCCTCGGAATAAAGGGTTTCCTAAGTTGTCGTCGCAATGGACATGACTCGATCTTCCAGGTCGCTTACCTTGGCTATCTGCTGGTCGGAACCGGAAGCTTTCTCTTCCATTCAACGCTGAAATGTAAGTCAGGTATCATGGTGGGGGAGGGGTAGCCAGTGTTGTTCAGAATTGCTGATCCGTGCATTGCACACACAGATCCCATGCAGCTGGTCGATGAATTGTCCATGATATACACCACATGTCTGATGTGCTATGCATCCTTCTCATACTCCAGGCCGAATGGCTTTCGCGTCGTTCTGGGCATCTTTCTTGCCAGTTTGGCGATCTTCATCACCCTTTACTACCACTATCTCCAGGACCCCCTGTTCCACCAGAACGCATATGGCATCTTGACAGCCATCGTCCTCATCCGCAGCATGTACACCATGGAGGTGACGCTTCGTCCTCGCTGGCGTCATTCGACGGAGGAGGACAGGCTGGCGCGCGAGAAGCAGGGCCTGCCTGTTCCGACTAAGGAGCACCAACACTACGAAAATGTGCGCGACACGAAGACTCTCAAGACCATGTGGTTCATGGTTGTGTACGGTTTGAGCGTGTTCCTGGGCGGGTTCGCCATCTGGGGATTGGACAATGCCTTCTGTCCGAAGATCCGCGGATGGCGCCGGCAAGTGGGTCTTCCCTGGGGTATCCTACTGGAAGGCCATGGTTGGTGGTATGTTTCGCGCTGACACCATGCGTCCGGCTGTCCCCGTATACTAATTATTCTACTAGGCATCTAATGACTGGCCTTGGGGCATATCTCTACCTTGTTTGGGGCATCTGGCTCCGTCACTGCTTGAACAACCGCCAAGAAGAGTACCATCTCTGGTGGCCTCGCATTTGGAACATCCCCGAGGTTCTCCGCACCAGCACTCCAGGCAAGGGCGTGAACGGAGTGGCCAAGAAGTCGAATTAGCTGGACTCACTCATACCCTTATTCCATTGGTGTTTTAGACCCGACCTCTTGCGGAGTCTCGAGGACCGGAGCTTCGAGCGCTCTTCTACGTCGGGACGATCGCTCACTTATAGTTTTGATTGATGGAGTTGCTTATAGACGTCTGCTCTAGGCCACTCAGACAAGTATACCATTATATCCTATAGATAAGAAATTGAGAACAAGAGACAATTATAGATCTCTCTATCAGGGTATCCCAATGGGTACGCAAGTAATTCGTTAGACACGTATATGTCTAGTTAAATCTATGTAACGTCTCGCTGAGAGAACACAGTCTATGCAACCGCTGAAGTGCTGTGCGATCTCCATCAGAAACGAACAATTAACCTTTCACAACTTAGGCTGAGCAGGGTTCTTCTTCGGCCGCTCGGGACGAGGAACATGATCCTTCCACCGAGAATCGATCGTGACCTTTTCGACCTTTGACTTCCGGCTCCACTGTTCCTGGAACTCTCGTTCCTCAGCTCTCCATCGTTCCAACTCAGCACCCAACCATTTACTCGCCGCATCAGCACACTCTTTGGGAGCCTCCTGGGCAAGCAGGTGACCATATTCGGCAAGATAAACATCGCGCACCCGACCAGCAGGAGCCCCACCACTGCCTCCCAGCCCCGTTCCTGTAGCAGCCATCTTATCCGCCATCATATCAGGTAAACACATATCCGATTTACCTCCGAAGATATAGCAGACGCTGGGACGAAGATGCGGGAGCATAGCAAAGACCCGCGACGGTTCTGGCCGGTAAAACGGCCATGAACCCAGATGATCGGGGTTTAGATCCGGATGAGTCACTTTGTTCACGGGGACCTTCTTTCCTGGGGGTCCATCGTAGTTGGGACGCGAGAAGGTGAAGACTTCTTGGTGGAGGGTTGTTCTGAGCGTGACGGGGCGGTCGTTGCTTCCCTCCTTTTGCTGGGATTCATCCAGTGGGTGAATGGCCGTGGGGAGTTCGCGGAGACCGTGCTCGATCCAACGGTCGAGGACGCGGGAATCCCAAGCTAAGTAGAACGGGTTTTTCCTAAAGGCCTCCGCGGCGGCTTTGCGGGATGGCCATGTGTCTCGTCGGTAGGTGGATAGTTGGGTCGTTTGGGCGATCCGTTGTCTTTGTCGCATGGCCATTTCGAGCCCGTCGAGCTGGGTGGATTCGCGTTGGATTACAGGGTCCAGGAGGACTAAGCTGTGAATGAGACGTGGGTGCATTAGGCATAGCTGTGCGCTGTTGCAAGGCGTTAGGTTTGTACTTCGTGGGAGGGTCAGCTTGAGAAGAACATACAGATGTGCTCCGCCCATGCTGTGGCCTATTCCGACAATGGGGCGAGGCATTTCTTTGCGCTTGACGTTGATAAGGTGAAGCAGGTCTCTGGGGTGGTCGAACCAGCTCGCTATATGCACCTCGTCAGCGTTGATCTGGAAAAGTGACGAGCAAAGAAAAAGGTCGGTTTCATACGGTCGTTGCCCAAGAGGTGCTCATTTACTACGCTGCTCTCGCCCTGGTGCGCAACATCCGCCATCCATATACTTCTGATCCGGAAGCCATTTGCTTTTGATCGAGCGTATAGCTCCTCCCATAGAGGTTCGTAAAGCTCCTGGTTTATAGGTCAGCCACTTCCGTTCGAGTTCAATGCTGTGATGTCCCCAAACCTTCGGAAACCCATTCGCATGTGCAGCAAGGATTGTTACATCCCCTGGCTGTGGATTGGGGTTATCGAGTGGTACATATTGCTTCACAACCAAATTCAATACATCTTCTTGACCATTTGCCGTCGCCGCGGGATACTCCCTGATATGTTGGCATTCGACGATGTGCTGAACGACCCGAAACGGGCCAGTGGGATTTGAAGATGGCGACATTTCTTTCGCTGGTTATAATGAGTGAACTACGTAGTGTCGCACAAATCCGAGGCGACTCTAGTATATATGGATTCAAGGCAGGGGAAAGCAGTTATCCCCCGGATCGGAGGGTTCGAACTGCCGGGGCTGGCGATGAGCCGAGGCTCAGGATTAAGAGCGACCGGGGAAAAGTGGCCGATCGCTTGATGGATTGTAATGTCAGGCGGGGAGTGTGAATGGTCGGCTGATACCACTAGTCACAATACAGGGTAACAGTTACGGCTCAGGGAGTCGGGTCATTTTTGACCGTGCAACACATAGCATTGATAATGGCAAACTGGGCCCCTACCAACACATCACCAGGCAAGATGGCCGAGTTGGTCCAAGGCGTCAGGTTAAGGTCCACCTTAATACCTAGCTTCACAGCTTCCTGATCATCGTAAGATGGCGTGGGTTCGAATCCCACTCTTGTCATATCTTTTTGTCTTTTTGCTTCTCGTTATAAGCATTACAATAAATGGGCTATATAGGATGCACGATAGGCTTCGCTGATTTTTTATGAAATTTAGTCGGTTATATCCAATAGATACATTGATGCCTTTGGTCGAAATTAGTATGCCAGATTGTGGGTGGTATGTCCTACTGTTAAGTAGTGGTTACCCCCCCGTAACCACTGATATATATAGATTGTCATTGCTCCTCTTCGGGTAACCATCAAATGTACCATTATGTAGGCGTAAAGTCTCATGAGAAGGCTACGCCTAAATCCACCAACTGATGATACCATAAAAGCCCAAAATTATTGCATCACATGTGTATTTTACCACACTGCCAACCTAGTCTGTATCTACATGGCAATAGTATGTCAATTCAATTGCTTCCTTCGGAGAAATGTCCCCGCTGTATGTATCCATCCTGTGGAGGTCCCGCAAAACCTTGACATCACAATCAACACATTAAAAACAGAGCCTATAATGTCACAAATCCAGAGTATACCCTATACATGCAGACTTGACCAGGACGACGTGGTTGAGACGTGTCTAATATCACATATCGACGATATTCGACGTATCTTATCTACACGTGACCTGGTGTCGTGTCGGCGCGTCTGCGCGTCGCATCGCAAAGCCACAAGAGGCAAAAGACGACTGTTTTCTCAAGTCAGACGAGTCTTTCACCCATTGCTAGCAAATACAATCGGAGCGCACCACACACTGAAAACACCCCCGTGCTGACAGGCAAATCCCTCACAATGGCTGAGCAGGGAGGAGAGCTTCAACTCTTCAGCCAGTGCAAAGTCTGTATCATCTGCTCCAAAGATCTCAGTGCCGATACGGCACATCAGGTATGACAGAACCTACAGCTGACACCTTCAGAGTTTACCTGGTCTAAATTAACGAGATATCGATAACAACAGCTTGCATCTACATTCGAAGAACATGGCGGTGAAACTGTGATCTATGAGCCGCCAGCCACCTTCCCTCCCCTCTCCGATTTCACCCACCTCATCTCCTGCACAATTGACTTTCCTGCCTTCGACGCGGCCAGCGATGCCCTGATACCAGTAGTCAAACCCCACTGGGTGCATGCGTGCCTATCAAAGAGAAAGCTAGCAAATCCGCGCCAATACAGCCCCGACCCGAGGCTCTTCTTGAACGACGTGGTGATCACATGCGGTGATATCCCGGGAGGCGATAAAGAGGCTATCATCGGCGGTGTCCTGGCGAAAGGCGGAATATACAGCCCCAAGGTCTCCCAGCAGGTCACGCATTTGGTTGACTTGACTGCGGAGTCTGATAAGGCACGATTAATCGCCGCAAAGAAGTTGAATATCAAGATAGTGCTTCCGCACTGGTAAGACAGATTGTTACCCCCCCAAGCGAAAGGAGTGGGCCAGCCTAAAGATGACCCGATTAACAGGTTCGACGACTGTCTAAAACTTGGCCGAAGAATCGACGAGCGTCCATATACCCTTCCCGACCCCGAAATTCTCCGTGCAGCGCCAGATGCACCCATCCGTTCCTCAGAAAACCGTGACATCATCGGCGCATCCACGACGAATCCAGCAAACCTTCCCTCGTCTGTCAAATCGCCAGACGCGCAACCGGCGCTCACCGTATTTCAAGACAAGAATGTCATGCTCTCCACGGACCTCGGTATCGGGCCTCGTCTTCTCGGGTCCATCGAGGAAATCATCAAGAATGGCGGCGGCTCCATTACGACGGATGTTTCGAAGGCGGATATTCTGATCTGTCGCTATAGAGAAGGGTTCGCATACCGCATGGCATCGAGGCTGAACAAGGACGTCGGAAACCTATCGTGGCTCTACCACTTAATGACCTACAACACCTGGACATCCCCTCTACGGCGATTACTGCATTATCCTGTCTCGCGGTCCGGAATCCCAGGCTTCAAGGGATTCAAGATCAGTCTGTCCAACTATGTTGGAGAAGCCAGAGCGTACTTGGAGAATCTGATCACCGCAACAGGTGCAGAATGCACAAAGACACTAAAGCAAGAGAATACCCATCTCGTAACTGCCCATGGCAATAGTGAGAAATGCGCCGCTGCGAAGGAATGGGGATTGCAGGTCATCAATCACCTGTGGTTAGAGGAGAGTTACGCAAAATGGAAGTTGCAACCCGTTTCTGATCCGCGCTACACCCATTTTCCTAAAAGGACGAATCTAGGCGAAGTTGTCGGTCAGACCAGGCTCGACAGAGCGGTTCTCGAAAGTATATTCTTCCAGAGTGAAGGCTTATCACGAGAGCAGGAAAGTCCCCGACGGGCAATGCAGACAAAGGAACGAAATACTATCGCTGCAAAGCCATCGGATCTCATGCAACCGCCGTCGGCGAAAGTGACGGAATCCGAGAGCGAAGTGCCGCCGCAGCCGCAAACCGCAACACCGCGTGCTGTCGGCAAATCGCGCAAGGCATCTACCACTGATAATCAAAAGTTACAAACACCGGCGCGTGCTCGGCTTACATCTGAAGGCAAGGAAAACGATACGCCGTCTACCACAAGCAGCCGGAAATCAAAGGAAGCCGCTACCGCTCGACTGCATGAAATTGCACCTGATATTGCCTTGTACGAAAAAGAGAAGAAACGCGTTGGTGGAGTGATCTATGGCGGTCGACGAAAGACGGACGAGGATCGAGTCATACTCAATAATGGCAAGAAGCGGCGATCTATGGAAGCGGAGGACAACAGCGATGAAGAGGACTCCACGGAAGCAAAGAGGCAGAAGAAGGGCAAGCCCTCTGTGGCAATGCATCTTCTAATTACAGGGTATCAAAAATGGGTTGGAAACCCGAAGAAAGAAGATTCGGATAAGGTTTGTTCGACTCTTTGTATATGTCTATAATCGAGAATACCTCTGACTGCGAGCAGCGCCAGCTCCGTGAACTTGGCATCTTGGTTGTCCAAGACGCCCGAAGATGCTCCCATCTTGCTGCCCCCTCTATCCTGCGGACTCCTAAGTTCGTCAACGCGCTTGCATACGGCCCGGCTATTATGAGTATCGATTTCATCACGCAATGCCTCGAAAAAGACGAGCTTCTAGATCCCGCAAATTTCCCTCTGAAAGATGACGTTTCGCAGAAGAAATATGGATTCTCTCTAGAGGAAGCAAAGATGAACGCCAAGAAGAACAAGAACAAGCTCCTGCGAGGGTATCAAATACACTGCGTCGAAACCATTCGTGGTGGATTCGACGCGTTCAAGTCCATTGTGGATGCTAATGGAGGAGAATGCTCGCTCTTCCGTGGTCGCGTTTCATATCGGTCACAGCGCGAGGAGAGTGAAGACGAGAGCTCCGGAGACGACGATCGCAGCCGAAAAGAGGTATATCTGTTGAGCAGCACTTCTGCAGACCACACCAAGCTGTGGCCGCGATTCCGCCAGATGGTCCTGAACAGAGGCAAAACACCACGGATAGTCAGGGTGGATTGGCTTCTTGATATCGCCATGTCCCAAACACTCCGCGCAGCCGATGCGTATGAGCTGGACGAGGAGATGGCGGACAAGATGGAGCAGTAGCTGGCTCTTCAGCATGGTGTTAGGAGTGTGCTGTGTTGGAACATATTTGCTTGTCATGAACAGCGGGAAGCTCGTGTAGCTCTTTCGGGGACATTATCTGGTTTTGTATATCCCTTACTTTATGATGAAGATAGTTGCCGTATCCTCAGCGTTGCCAATGGACATTCTCTTTGAACGAACCGACGAGAATCGACCACATGCTCCAAAACAGGCCAGTCTACCTACCTGACCCTTAGAAGAACTTCACACCCTCCTGGCCCTCGCTACCGAAGACCTGCGCCTTGCCCCGTTTCACGAGAACATTGAGGGACTTGTGCATCACATCCGGATCCATCCCATGCCATTCTACTCCAAACAGACCGTTAGCCACCATAGCAAACCAGCATCACACAACCAAGAAGCAAAGCAAGTTAAAACCTACCCTGCGACATCGTAGCCTCCCCTTCCAACAACTCATAAACCGTAAGCACCACATTCTTCTGGCCCGTATTTTCCACCTATCCAACAGATCAGCACAGTTAGCAATCATCTCCCCTCAATCCCAAGCCCACCAGCAATTAACTCCCTTTCAACACTTCATACGATGATCTGAACGAGAGAAAATTACATACCCAATCCGCAATCAACGCCGCCCACTCCTCGGGCCTCTTCCACCAGATCCATGCGACGCTCTTGCTCCCACCATCAATCCACTCCGCTCTCTTCCCACCACCGCCTTCCTCTTCACTTTTCGCCATCCAGTCTAGAATATCCCGCGCATCGCTCATCGATATGCGCTTCCGGAGCGTCGTGTTGTGGAATAGTGGGGACTCGATGGCTTCGATCAACGATAGTCGGTAGACGCGGTGATGCCGGCACCAGGATTGGATCAGAGAAGACCATTTTTGGAGTTGGGAGGTGCGCGTCGTGCTGTTGGGTTGGGGGGTGAAGAATGCTGGGAAGGAGTAGGTGAGGGGGAATTGGAAGGGTGGGGTTGTTGTTGATGTTGTTGCAGTTGTCATTTTGGTGGTTAGAGAGTGTGTTTGTGTCTGTGAGTGGTTGAAATCTTGATCCAGGGTATATTGCGCTGTTGTGGAATGGGCTCCGAAGAAAGGTATGGTTGATTAATTGCAATGACGAGGGTGATCGTAGTGGTAGTGGTGGTGGTGGTAGCCGTGATCGATAAGGACGTCAGACTAGATACTGATCCAGCCAACAACAACCTTAAAATGGAACGAACTAATTGACTTCTCCGCCTTAGAAATTTCCGCAACCTCCGCAGCACCGCACCGCACCGCACCCCCCACCTTCTTAGCAGGCTCTCTCAAGTTTCTCCCACTTTACATCATATTAGACCCCTCAATTAATCTTCAGAAACATAATGTCTCAACCTCCTGCTAAGCGCCAAAAGCGCGCCGAGTATCGCAAACAAGCCGCCGAAGCGGTCGTTGCGC